CTATCATCACTGTCTCGGGGCAAGTTTTTCTCTAGCTACGGTCAAAGGATGGCTTTCCACAGCAGGGGCGCTTGATATTGCTCTTGGATCTTGGCAGGAAATACTCACCATAAACCTTGGCAACTTTCAACTCCGACCTTCAAGCCAGTGAACAGCAGATGTGCAGAGTTTCTACTGCATTATTTTGGCAATAGCAAGTGAAAACACACACACAAATATTTGGTCTAAGCTATGAAGCTACAATAGAGCACATGGCTTATTCATATTCATATATGTATAGAATATAAAAGATGTAGAACTAACATTATCTTTGGGTAAACCTGACAAAATAGTCAAACAACTGAAGAAAAACATGTTATTTGATCAGTGGATGTTTATAGGGTTCAGGAAACGTAATCTCTCTAAGTCCTCCATTTAGTGTTCACACACACCACCACTGCTCTTTGCTTCTGACTCTCCAACGGCAAAATGGAAATGGAAGTGGAAGTTGCAGAAACGTAAAGATCAAGAGTAAGAAAAGAAAACGGCGCTGCGCCCAAAGCGCTATTGCCACATCACTATTTTGGAGTTTTAATGGTAGCAGGATATAATGGGAATAAAAAAGGAGAACTGTGATTATGAAAATGAGTCTCTATATAAAATGCATGTGTGTGCACACCCGTGTGCGTATGTATGTGTGTATATGTGTTCATGTGTGTGTACTGATATTTTGAATTTGCCCTTTTTAACGGTCTAGCACAACTTAATCAGGATATGTTGAGCGCCATAAATCCATCATCTCCCCATTACCATATATTTTTCTACTATCCAGACAAGACGCATCCATCAGCATTTGCTTCATAGGTCAGGTTGTGTCAGAGGCTCTCTCTAGTGACACAGTTTGTGCCCGAGAAAAAATGTCATTCTAACCTTCATCTCAAACTTGGACACATTTCATTCAAAAAGAGCTTTTTCTTTAGAGAAAGAGAATGTTTTGGCTAGAGAACCACTGGAAATATAAACCCAGAGTAAGGGGTGAGATCCAGGCCCAGATTTACTTAATTAAAAATCAGTAACTGAATCCTAAGTTAATTCCTTTCAGTGATTAGGTTTTAGAGTAAAGCTCAAGCCAGTCTTAATCTGATAAAGGCAGAAGTATTATCTAAAGGAAAACATCTTGAAAGCCTTAGTGGAGTGAAGTTATTTTGAGAGTTGACATTTTTGTGGCTGATACTGCAGGTAGGTGACATTTTGCTGAGGGTTTTGGGATAATATCTCCACATGTCTGTGGATCACCAGTATTTAGGTGGCCGATGGCTTGCTGGACGTGCAGATAGACAGTGACATCTATGGCTTCGTGCTATAGTGGAGAAGGCAGTGGAAAGGCCCACGAGGCATAATGCAAATACTGAACATGGGAAAATGGGAGTGCACCATGGCACTTCATTTTAGCTCCACAGAGATGCTGGGATAAAGCTTCATAATCCTGGTTTTCAATAAACCTTACTGTGACTTTCAAAGCTGCGGTAATACAGTTGCTCCAAAGTAGCGAATCCATTTTAAAAATTCAAGTAGTTTTCATAATGAACCTGTTTTGTC